GGAGTGAGGGGCGCCAGCGGGGGGAGCTGCCTGCATAGTGACCCCCTCCACCCCCAGATCGTGGTGACCGTGTGGAAACGAGACCGGGAGCAGCCCGAGGTGCGGGACTGTGGGTACCTGAGCCTGCTGCAGACACGGGCGCCCGCCCAGCTCTTCCGCCAGGAGCAGGGGGCCTTCAAGGCCCAGGGTAGGTCCCCGGTGCCCCCCCAGGTACCTCCATGGCCCCTATCGTGCCCCCTCCCCCCTCATGCCCCGTCGGTGCCCCTCACTCCCGACCTGCAGCCCGCTCAGGCTTTGCCCTCTAACCTCTGCCCTGCAGTGAGCACCATGCTGACCGTGCTGCCCCCGCCCGTGGTGAAGTGTCGGCAGCTCAGCGTCTCCGGGAAGTACCTCACCGTGCTCAAGGGTGAGGCGGGGGCCGGGGGACCCACACTTGGTCATGGGGGGGGTGTAACAGTGGGGCCTTCCTGGCGCTGGTTAGAAGGTGAGCAGCCAGCTGTTTCTGAGCTCAGCGCCCATCTCTCTCGTGTCCTGCACCTTGATGGAAAGCAGTTAAGATGCTACCCACGTGGGAGGCTGCCCATTTCTTGCTCCAATGCCAGGGGGTGCTATCTGCAGCTCCGAAACCTCCCCTACACCGCAGGCCATGCCTCGCAGGTGGTATCTAAGCTCTTAACACCTCTGGGGCCCATAACCCTTTAGCCTGGATCCTAACTAGATTCCTCCTAGTCAGGTGGCCTACTCCGCCCTCATTCTGGACTGCCTCGCTCCCCGCACTCTTCCCCGCCTCGGTGTGGCCCCCTCCGGGACCTCCGGCCACACAGGCCCTGGCCTCATCTCCAAGGCCAGTCAGAGCCCCAGGACCCCGGCTCTGGCCCGTCCCTCATGGTGGGCCCCTGGCCCTTTTGACCCTTCGGGTCCGGCCCCAGCATTGACCAGTCGAGGGTGCCTCAAATCAGGTTTCTGAGCAACTAGCCCACACTCTCTTACATGGGTCCGCCTTCTCGGGCCCTGCTACAGGGTTACACACCCAGCTGTGGGGGCTGGGGTTATTGCTCCTTGACCTGCCTTTCACCGGGGAGGTAACCTGCCTGGCATTTCTTGGGGGCTCCCATGCCACTAGGAGCCCCACCAGGCCACCCATCCCCAGCAGGGTGCACTTTTAGGTCATGTCCAGGACCAGGAGCCTCCAAAACATCCCAATAAGCTCCTGCTCCTGCCACCAAGCTGTTCCTGAGCCTCAGCTCCACCAGCTGATGTCTCTCACAGGGCTGCCAACAGCAAACTGCTGCTTCACCCTTTATATCCTGGATCTCAAAATGGCCACTGTACTCGAGCACCTGGCTGCTGCCTGCGCCAGCCCTTAAAGTGGCAGGCACCAACAGTGCCCTGCCACAGGGAGCATGGGGAGGGGGGAGGGTCTGTGGCTGCCCCTCACCCCCTCCCCCCACTGTCCCCCAGTACTGAACCGGTCATCGCTGGAGGAGATCTCGGTGCGAGATGTGCGGATTTTGCCCAACTTCAACGCCAGTTACTTGCCCGTGATGCCCGACGGCTCTGTGCTGCTCGTCGACAATGTCTGGTCAGGCCCGGGAGGGGGGGCGCTGAGCTGTTTGTGGGGGCTGTGAGGTGCCCTTCCCTGTGTCTCTGACCCCCTCCAGGATCATGGGGGCCTGGGGGTCCACAGGGCTCACCTCCGTCTCCCCCGGCAGCCACCACTCCGGGGAGGTGCCAGTTGGGGCCTTCTGCCGGGTGCCAGGGGCCGGCGCCGCCCCCCCCTGCGCACTGCGGGCCCTGGAGGAGCAGAGCTTCCTCTTCCAGCTGCATGCACCCCAGCAGCCCCCGCCTGATGCCAAAGAGGTGGGTGGGGCTATGAGGCTGCCAGTTTGGGGGTGGGATCATGGGGCTGTCACTAATAGCATGGGTGGAGTTACTGAGGTGTCATATGATCAGGGGCAGGGCCGTGTGGCTGTCACTCATAGCTTGGAGGTGGGGCCATAGGGCTGTCATTTAGAGGGAGCCGGGCTACTAAGCTCAGTCATTACCTAGGGGCATGGGTGTGTCAGGGGTGGGGCTATACAGCTGTCACTCAGTCTTGGGGGTGGGACTATACATTGGATGCTCCTAGCTGCGGGGTAGGGCTCTAGGGATGCTTTACAGGCCTGGGGGCGGGGCCTGGGAGCTGTCCATCAGGCCTGGCCCCACCCCCAGGGGCTGGAGGTGCCGCTGGTGGCCGTGGTACAGTGGTCGACGCCAAAGCTACCCTTCACCAGCAGCATCTACACGCACTACCGGTGAGTGACCCCACGTGACCACTGCAACCTCCCAGTGACCCCTCTATGACCTCCCAGTGACCCCCCCATGACCCCCTAGTCCCCCTGGCACAGGTTGCCGAGCATCCGGCTGGAGCGGCCGCGCTTCGTCATGACAGCAGCGGTGGAGTCACCTGTGTTGCCGCGGCAACGCTTCACTGTCACCTACACACTGCTCAATGACCTGCAGGACTTCCTGGCTGTGCGACTTGTCTGGGCCCCTGAGGGCGCAGCCGCAGGTGGGAGTGGGGCCAGGGAAGGGGCGGAGCCAATGGGGAGAGGGCTCCCACTTGCCCTGACCCTCTCCTGCTTCTCCTCAAGGTGCAGGGAAGGTGCCGCCCGGATCAGCGCCCGGCCCAGGATCAGGACCGGGGCGCCGGGCGGCGCAGGCCGCACTGGACTCGCTTGTCTGCCACACGCCGCTCGCCCGCCTCGGCCACTCACGCAAGGGCAGCGCCCTCACCGG